ACGCAAAGACATTTGAGAGCGATATCGCACTGATTCGTCTGAACCAAAGTGTCCAAAATGATGATAATATTCAAGCCATTTGTTTGCCTCAACTCATGCAAGATTTTAGTGGTCGAGACGGATATATATCTGGCTTTGGTGTACTTGAATCGGGTAATGATATAATCGCTTTCAAACTCTATGAGAATTAAATAAATATCTATATTAACAATTTAAACATGTAGCTCACAAGAGTATAGATTTTATCTTAATTTCATCATGGCTATCTGATAGAGATATCTGTTTATTGAGTTTTGAAAGCGAATTTATTTTAATAGAAATAATTAAATAACAATTTTAATATAAATGTTTGAATCAGACTCGAGACGTGTTCCGCATATTCTTCAGATCGTTTCGGTTCCCATACTGAGCGCAGAATTCTGTGATTATATGTTTCAACAGTTGGGATACAATGATGTAATGAAATGGGGAAAACTGTGCGCCGGTGTCATAGATGGTGGTAGGGATGCCTGCGCTGGTGATAGTGGGGGTCCTTTGACTGTAAGGAGGAGTGAGGATAATAAATGGCTTTTGGTCGGCATTATATCAAACGGCATTAAATGCGGTCAGCCCTACACACCTGGACTCTACACTCAGGTCTCAGCTTTTGTCGATTGGATTAATGCAGTCATTGATAACGATGCAAAGTATTTGTAAAAGTCATTTATACAAATTACCCAAAGTTTATTACACATTTCAATATTAGAAACTTATATTTTATATCTTTTAGCATTATTTTTAAAGTGATTAGCACTCAATTTAGTTTTATTAATTATGATTATAAGTTTATAAACTCTTTATGCTAGAATATTCATAGAACATTATAAAAATGTCGTTATTTTAAAAATTGAATTTATTATAATTTGTTAAAATTTTTCATATTTAATCATAAAATTTAATTGTAAAATTCTTGAATATAGAATGATTTTAATTGCACAAAAAACACCATCAATCTCAGATTTTATTGAGACATTTAAACAAATAAAAAATATACAAATAAACAACAATTCATTTCATTGGTGCAAAAACGAGTCAAAGTTTTGTGTTTTTAACAATTTCTTAGATAATTAAAAGAGTGAATGCTTTGTATGATACAGTATTCTCTAAAAGAAAAAATAGACTTCAAATAAGACATGGAATAAATGAACTAAACTTTTTTAAACACATCTCATAAAACAAAGTTAACTAAATGAATAAGAATATATAAAAACTATTTGTAAACTGGTTTCACACAAATAATACCCAAAAAAGAGAGTCAAGTCATAAAAATCGGGATTTTATTTATGCAAAAACTCTAAAATAATTAAATCCAAACCTCTTTTTGCACACTTAATCAGTGGACGAAATCTTTATAAACTCATTTGAATATACGAATGCTTTTATTAATTTATGGGTATTTGCTATTCATTTACTATATTTGGCCCTTAAATGAGAGGAGAAGACCAGAAGTAAAAATAAAAGCAATTAAAATGCGTTACAAGAGTAACGGCAATTGTGGACAGAGTTTGGACTAAAAATAGCGAAATTTAAAGATATTATTAAAAATTGAAAAACAACTGAAAGGAGTGAAGGGATCATAAGAAATGAAATGATAATGCATTGTAATGTTGTATATTATAGGATGCATAATGGGGTCCATAATATTGATGAAGTTTTAGCGATTTATTGGTTTGAGTGCCTCCACAATGATTACTAGATATGATACAAATGAATGCATGGAATAATGTCAGAGACATTAACTTGGGATCGAAAGGCATCCAAAAGTTGGTTTTCAACATATGATTGGTGTCGGGCTATGGCTGTAAAAGATGCCGTAAATGCAAACGAGTTGAGGACAGAGAGCACCGGCAGCACAATAATCACCATAAAAGCTTCTGTTCAAAGAGAATCGTCAATAGGCTTATCATTAAGACATTTTCCAATTGGCTACCAGTCGGCACACAGCCAGCACATCCATGTGCTCTATTACTCATACAGTATACTGGGCAGAGAGTGCTAAGGCATAGCACACCACTAGCACCGGTATGACAGTCCAGAGCAGAACTACTTATAATACGGCCATTAAGTTGTAAAACTGATTTAAGTTACTTTTGTGCTCATATATGCCTAATATGAGTGCACTGTAAACACAGGTGACATTCCCTGTGACAAAAGGATGTGATGTCTTGTTTTGCATTCCTATCACTACTGACCGTCAGAAGCCCTTCACTCGGCTGTCGACCCAATGCCACAAAAACGGCTCAATCTTTGTCTTCTTTTTTAACAAATCTTAAGAATCGCCATAAGTTTAGGCCATAAAAAAGGTCTTTTCTTTTCGCACAAAAGGCTAGTAATGAGATATGTGTTTGTCTGGTCTGACCCTCTTTTGGCAAATTCTCAATAATTCCTATTCATTCACTTCCATATCAAATAGGATTTAATTATTTTGCATCGTTTGCATAACGCATGCATTTAACTCGTAAGTATAAAATGCAATCTAAGTTTACTTCCAGAGCATTGCTATTGCTATTGAAAGTTCTACTGTATTGTCAAACATTTGTTATTAAAGATCTAATAAATATTTGATACACAAACCAATTACTGTACTTAATTCTGTGCTTAAATTATTTACAAACTTTGAAACTAAACTTTAGTTACTAAAGAGTCGAGTTATTTATTTGTTTTATATCATTACGATAATATGATTTAATATAATTTTAAAGAACAATACTGTAAAAGTTCAGAGTTTATATTTATTTAGAAAATAACTTTTGTGGTTTAGGTTTGCAGTTGAGTCTTGCATTACAGAATAAATATCATGCTTTGAATGTAGAATAATATACTTTAAGTCATCGAAAAGCCCAGCGATTTGATGTTTATTTAGATTCTAAAACAGTTTATTTGATCTCAAAGAATAACACTTTTTTTGAACAAACTTTACTTTAAAATTCAGTCAATGATTGCTGTTTTGGACTCTATTCCCGAATCAAAACAATCAAATGATAGAGTATTGTGTGGTCTGTTCAATGCGAGTGAGTATATCATATCAAATAAGTTGTCTTTACTGTTGATAATCACGAGTTCTGAACACCACATAAAACCGAGAAATGGTCTCAAATTCAAACCTTCCATAAAGTGCTCAACTTTTTTGGGAATTAAAGGATCAGCGAATCAGTAAAAGTATAGTTTGTTTTCATAAAATAAAGCTTTTCTTTTGTTAATTCATTGTATTTGATAAAAGTAAGTGACATTCAATCGATAATGACAGCACATTATACCAAATAAGTTGTTAAAAGCTTTACAAAACTTGTTAATAATTACCAAATTTTGAGTTAACTCTTGTAATGATTTTCACATTTTCAAGAATCATAATCAATATTTATATTTTGTAATGCGAGTGCTTTTGTCTAAATATTATCAAATGCTTGAAAAAACAAATATTTAGCTCACTTATGCTACCTTAAAATTAGATTTATTTTTTAAAATCCCAGAATTAGACATAGTATTAATTAATATTATAAAAGAATATAAACTTAGTTATCCAAATAAACAGTGACAGCAATTATTGTTTTATGATTTAATACACAGTACAGTACAGTATATAGAGTTTTAAAGCCAAAAATGTTGTCAAATATGTGAATGCAGTAAAACTTGACTAAAAGTACTCAATGCATAGAAAAGACTCAAATTTCGGGGCACTTGTAGTGAGTGTCGAAGAAAAGAGCGGATTTTATTGCTGTTGTCCTCTCAGTTGTACTATATTTATGTTGATTTCATTTAATTTCATCTCTGGTTTGAACTAACAATCAAACATTTGGCTTAACTTTTGTGAAACATTAGTGTAGTTGGGAATGCAATAAACCATAAAGCAATCAAATGTGAATGCCTTCGCTTTTATACATCTCTTGTGTATTGTCTGACTGTTCACAAGTGACTATAATAATGCAATATTGGATAACTAAAGCCATACCTAACAGGGCTCCTGAAACACATATCCCAATCGATTTATCAAAAACCTAACTATACAAGCATTTTATACCACATTTTTATTGTTATTTCGTTTATATACACGTATATATTTTGCAATGAGATTATCATTGAAATACAGTTATTGTTTGAACATATAATGTGTTTGAGAACACAAAAGTCAAACTGAGAACTAACTGCAAATCACTATTGCATTTACAACTACTCCCAAACAATTTAATTGTCTCAACATTATAGCCATATCACACATATCTGTATGAACTGTAAGGCATACCAGATTTAACAGTCAATTTTGGTTTAGTTTTTATTGCTTTAAAGTTCAATTGTGTGCAAAATATTTACGATCTGTCAGATTATGCCTCAAAATTAATAATTGCTAAATGAATTGCTTTATGTCACAGAATATTCTGTTCACAGTATACTTCAGTAGCTCTTATAGTTTACATAATATCTTAGCGACTATTAAATTATCATTTTCTTAAATGACTCTGAAGTCTAAACTATATTTATGATGTGATAAAAAATAAATTCATTTATTTTAAATGAAATTAAATTTCATTGGTTGTCATGACATACGAGCACGAAATGTAATCACAATTTGATTTCCTGTATAAATGTTTTAAATAAAGATATTAAATATTTGATAAGACTATCGGAGTTATTATAATTACTTTTTGATCGCAAAAATTCGTTTCTTTTTCTCTTCTACCGTACGATTCATTAATTTTATACAACTATTGAAGCACTGGTTGTGTTGGCACTGGTAGTACAGTTAGTAACTTAGTATTAGTTGTCTCTCTCTCTCTCCCTCATATTCAGTGTCTCATTGATCGGAACCCGATTGCAATTTCTCTACTTTTCACTTCAATTCACAACTTTTATTAACAAAAAAAAAGTTTTTTATAACCCAACACACGAGTCGACACAACGTTTTTGCGCTCCTTTTCTCTCCAAACACTCTCTATTCATGTATGGATGCGCTCACTATAGGGATAGAGAGCTGAAAGAGAGCTGAAAGAGAGAGCAAATTAGAGGAAAAACTGGTGCCAAACACGACATTCAAAGAGCATTGCATTTGATTCACTGGATTTTCTATGAGGAGAACAGTTTTGCCATCAAAACAGTATAATCTGTTTATTATTGTGTTGAAAGTCAAACAATTTTATAAATGATAAGAATAGAGTTAAATAATAAATATTGAGTTGAGTTGCAGATGTAGTGCCGATTTCAACCCCACGCCACACATACAACTCGTCCCCGCATTTGATTTCCGTATGTTTTAGTCAAAAAAATAGTGGAAACCCTGTCTAAAGTGTATCCACAGCTGGAGAAACCCCTTAATATCACGATAGGATTAACTTCACGAACAATGTTTCAATTTATTAGAAATATACTGTATATTCAATTCTAATTCAATTTAAACGATAAATGTTTCAATATATTTTTTATTTAATAAATTCCTTTCGAGATTTTAAACTAAACTTTAAATTATTCTCGTAAACAGTATCAATGAATTAAATTTTCAGATATATATTTATATGAATTTTAAGTCAATAAGTCACGAATTATGAATGAAACTAAATTTAATTTACTATTTATTACAGTACTAAAATGCAAAAATTCCTGAATAATTCAAATAAGTTCTATTCTCACAGTATTTATTTGAAATGAATACAATATTTATCAAAATA